TGGTATAAAATCCCCTGCAAATCCTCTAGTGATTTAAAGAGGCTCATCAATACTCCACACACCCTTTCTTGCTCCCTCTTAACCACTATTTTTTTTTTTTGGCCACAGAGAAAGGGTCTTTATTTGATAATCCCCATCATCATGCTGGTAAATAATAGGTGTACTGGTGGAAACAACGTTTGGGTTTACCAAATAAAGGAGATGAACAGACAGTGTTGATTTTTCACTTTTCTCAACAGATAGATGTTGCTCCCTCACACCAACCTTTTATCTGACATTTGTGCAGCTGTAGATTATTATTTATCACAAATATCAGGGTGCACTGGCACTTTCTATTTCATATATCCTCAAAAACCCTCTGTCATTTTCCAGTGTTAGTTGCAGACATTGATGCCAATCGATCAAATCCTTCCACAAAAAAGCTGTGCTCAAACCAGTTGGCCTTGTAGCATGTATTCAGTGGTACGTTTCAATATTATCTATAGACAAATGTATAATTTTCTTTTTATTTACTGTTTTACTGTCTTTGTATATTACACTTCATTACACGTCCTTCTTTACAGAGCTATACAGAATCAAGAAACTAATTGTCTGTTCTTTCCATCAAGCACCAGCTGATGTCTCCATCTCAACTGTAACCCCCATTTCCTGCAGGGAGTTGTGAAAGCACATGTCAAAACCTTTGTGTCCAAGCACTTTATGAGACAGGAGAGTTAAAGTGTTGAGAGGTGTTGACCTCGGGGACCTTTTCTCGGCCATGTGCTTTTTTTACTTTCAGCTTGTGCTTTTCTTCTTTTGTGACATTCCTGCCAGAGAAAGGGCCCCAGCAGACCAACCTGTCTCACTCCTAACAGCATGATAACTCCAGTTTTTAGGACCTTACAAATACCACGGGCGAAACTGTAGCAGTGGGTGAGAATGCAGTACAGTAAGTGGCCTGCCTTATTTTTTAGTACTGTGTTTAAAAAGACAAAAATTATAAATATATAAAGTTTGTATACACCACATAAACTAGCGTGTTTTTAATCACCCAAGCTACCCTGTCTATGGGGTTACACTGGAGGTGGAGCCACTTATTATTTAAAAAATTACAGGAGGGAAAAAATCTCCCTTCTCAGAAGATGTTTCTGTGATGCTTAACATGTCAGTATCGAGCCGCGGGGATAAACAATCATTCAACTGCAAAATAAGTTTTGAAAAAACACATTATTTAGACAGCATGTGTAAGAATTCCTCTTCAATAGTGTCCTAATTCTCAAACTTGTCAAGGGTCTCATGCAGCTCTGCCAACGATAAACGGCTGATCTTTCGGTAATAGTCATGTCATGTGCAGGGAGATTTAACATAAAGGTTTCCATGTTGAATGCTGGAAACCACAGCTTTCAGTTAATAAAACTTCCTCACACTCAGCCCTGAAAACAGTTCCAATGCGGGTTCTGAATATCAAGTGAACTTTAAGCTGTATAGTAGGTATGGTAGTGTAATATTTTACAAAATATAGGGATGGCATATTGTTAGATTAATGCCAAACATAGTGTATCCGTGTTTCTATTTCCACAGCGTGAATCTGTCAAGTTTAAGTTGAAAAAGGGTGAAATCTGACCTTATTGCCAGTATCTGCTGATTTTTTTTTGTTTAAAACATCAGAAAATAGTGAAAAATGGCAATCATAATATCCCAAATCCCAAGGTGATGTCCTGTAATGGCTTTTTTTTCCCCTGATCAACACACCAAAATCCAAAGATATTCAGTTTACATTTAAGAGGCTGGGAGGAGTTACTTTTTGGGGGCATGTTTGCATTAAAAAAATGACTTTTATTAATACATTTTCAAAATGTATGTGTCAGCTCTACTAGCTTCAATTGAAGTCAATGGGAGGAGGAGTGACTATACATTACTGTTAGAACTGAAGACAGCAATGTTGCTGATTCCATGTATAGAAGAGGATAGTGATTTGTTGCCATGGAGGCCATCGACTTTCCTGGAATTATAATCTATTTGCCACAACCTAACTGTAATTCCCGGCTGCAACCCGAAAAGGGTTTGAGTTTAATAACAGCTTTTGTTATCATTTCCCTCATTAGTGCTGATGTACATGGACGGCAGGAGAAACGTGAAAGAAAATCACTACCAATCCACAGCCTTTCATCCCCAGAGGGGTGACTGTACATTCAGCGTGAGTAAATATGAATCTGACATCTGAAAAGGTATGTGCAGTGCATGACCTTGAAATTTATTATACTAAGCTGTACAGCAGCATGCCAGTTCACTACAGACAAACCACTTCGAAAAAGACATGAAAAGGTTTTCATTCACTCACTTTTCAGACCAGGGTCAATTAGTATTTGGCCACAGTTGTTAGCACCTGCTTAGACTCACAGAGAGGTGGTGAAGACAGCATTAGGACAGTGCAGGTCTCACCAGAAGGAAACCCAGCATCTTTATAGTTTAGCTTTATAGCTTATGTTTAAAGCTATAAATTATATTCCGATTCATCACATCTACCTTACATTTGTAGCACAAAAGATGGTGACAATAGACAAGACACACATGTGTGACTGACCGAGTATTTCATTTTCAAATGCTACTCTTTGAAGAATTGTTATCCAAACTGATAGGCCAGTCAAAGCCCTCACTGTACACGATGAGCCATGAAGCTGTACCCCACGTAGGATAACCTAATGAAGAAAATCTGAGAGCCCACGTCTCCATTCATACCGCAACGACAAATTGGGTTCCTCTGGGCTTACTATTGCATCCAAAAATGTAAAAATCAAATCCAATAAATGGAACTGCCGATGGAAAGACATTCACAAGCAGGAAAACTGCTATACATCAACGCTGTGGAAAAGGGAACATCACAGAGAGTGAGCTCCAGAGGAACAAAACAGAAGCCCGAAGAAAGAAAAGGCATGCTTCCCAATGAGGGCAACAAATTAACCCATTTTGGTGTAATCCAATCCAACAAGAAGAAAAATGTGCCAGTACAAAGTGCTAAACAAAAATTTTAAAAAAACACACAATAGTATGAGTCGGTCTACAGGCAAAAGAAGGCCTGAATAACTTTATATAAGGCCTTTATTGAATCCACTAAACTTTTTTTTTAAGTTAATGATACTAAGCAATTACACGGGGTGAAATAAATGTAATTATGTGCTGAGAGAAAAATAGACATTTCTGAAACTTAAGAAGTTGTGGTGAAAACGCTAAACCACATTGGATCCGTGTGTTCCCTGCCAGTGTGCCGTTTCCATTTTTATTTCTACCTCCTAGCCCTACCTCAGCGTGTTTCTCTACCCAAGATAACCAACTCAATCAATAAGTAGAACAGCGTCTCACATTCAGTCCACCATCTTCCGACGGTGGACTGCAACATAACAGCAGCTCCAAGTAAGGCAAGGGAACAGTTCTTTTCTTTTCTTCACACAGAGCCGTCCCATCAGGCATCACACCAGATGCTGGGTTCAACTGCGATAATATTAAATATAACCTAGATTAGATTCCACAAGGAGCATTTAAGATGAATCCAAATGGATGAGACACAAGTGACAACAAAGTGCAGGTTGACATAACAGTTTAGTCAGAAAGCGTCAAATGTCCCCTCGAGTTTCCCCCAGGAGGAGGAAGTCAAGGTTTTTACTGTTGTCTCTTCTGCTTGAGGGGCACTTCTACCAGTGCAGATTATATGACAGATAGTGCTGCAGTCCTGGACATTGTGAATGTAACTGCCAAACGAGGATGCAACCAACAACAATGTTAATGGTACTGTGAAAGAGGGGGGTGCAAAACACGTCATGGAAGTTAATCTCACATCTGACTCACAAGAAGACAGAAAACATGGACGGAAAAAAAAAAAGAAGCTACATGAAAGATCACCACCAAGTGCACAGCTGTTTTATTATTCGGGATAAGACTCAGGACAGACATTGAAACCATATACCAAACCATGAATTGGAAATGAAAGGCATCATTTTGCAGGGATGAGGAAAAACTTCAGATCTGATTCAAAGTGATGGGCTTAGCTACCTTCTCCACTTTGATTTTGATGTTGAAAGACAGTGTGCTGTCCTCACATCAAAGCATGTGGTACAGTGGCCTCCTCAACCCTGCACTCCTCTCAGACTCAGTACAGCATGTCTTCCTCAGTGTGGGCAGCCATTCACCATCCCCTCTTTTCCCTATGTGTGCATTAAATAATATTTGTTGTGCAGTATTTATATTTTTTTGACTGAAAAAAAAAAGGAAATGAGTCAACTGGCTGAGGGGGCACATTCATCAAAATATATATGAACATTTTACATAGCCTATACCAATAACTTGCATTTTTTATTCTTCACATCATGAAAAATTCAGAGGCTCACACTCCAGTGCATTTTGAACAACAAACTGCAACAGAAAATGCAGGCCTGCGTTGGCACATTTCTTGATTCAAGCCCCTTTAAAAAGACGCACACTTTCTGCCTCACAGTCAGCTACCGTCTTAGCTTTAGCCCAAAGACATAACAGCTACATATTCAGTTTAAACTACCTGCAGTTGTACTGCATGACTTCAAGATGCTAAAACTTCACTCATATGTATGCACCCAATATGCAACTTCTTTGCAAAGCCCTTTTTTTTTAAGAGCCTGAGCACATTCTTCCAAGCACTATGTGAATGGGAAGAAGCCCTTTCACTATTCAACAACTCCCCGGATACATTAGATCATAATCCAACCCTCTAACAGAACGGATTAATTAGTCCAACAGGAAATTGAAATTTCCATATTGGCTATCAATATGTTGCGCGTAGATCGGCGCTGATTACACCTGAACGCATCGATAGCCCAGTTAAAGTAATTAGGAGTGCAGTGCATGCCAAGATTGACATTACAGAGCACAGCAACACCGCTGCAGGGAATCATTCATGGGCATTATGATCGCCCTGAGCTCAATCTGCAGATAACTGTGGATATGCGCACAGGCAGAGGGGCATGCGTTTTGTAGCGGAAAGTCACACTTACCGCGGATTTGAAAATGACTGGTGAAGAGGAGGTACGGTTCACGTCCTTCCATTCAAAGTATTAGTGAGCATTTCTCTCTCAACTGTCTTTTCAGGCTTTGGGTACCGTCCTTACGCACCGTGTGTGAGGAATGGGCTTTGATGAAGGGGGTCGAGGAGAGCGAACAACGAATCCAAATAGTTGCCTCCTGTCGCTCCGTTCAATATCCTCGTAAAACCGCCTCGGTTTAAGCAGCTGCACGTCCAGAATCCGAGTCCTGGTGATGGTGAACCGCGGCGTTCCTCGCGTTGTATCCACGGTACTGTCCCTTACATCCCTTTATGGCACAAGGCGTCCTCCTGTGCGGGGGCTACATCACGTCCCATAAAGCTGAACGGCGAAACGCCAACACCACTCACGCACACAAACACGCACCAAAAAATAAAAAATAAAAAAAAGAGTATCCAGAAGAATTTGAAAGAGGGGGTGGGTGGGGGGGTGGGGTTGCGAGAAAAGGAATCTAAGTTGTTTGGGTCCAAAAAACAGAGCCCTCTGCGACTATGACAAACCAATTGTGCGCACTGGCTGTAGAGTGATTCTGTATGGAGACCGAGGGTTTGGAGAGCCAGTGAAAGGTGAGAGGCAAAACTCGGATGTGGATTGCCGCTCTCGCCGTATACTCGGGCTCCACCTAGCAGCAAACAGTAGATAACATGCTACAAACCAAAGCCTCTCCACCGACAGTCTAGCTTGTCTGGCTGGCAAGGAGACCTATGTTATGTTGCACTCTCTCTGTGCGCATGTGACTGCAATATTCATGGTAGGCTACTGCCTCTCTCTCTCAAAAGATTCAGTGCTTCTAATGTAATGCAGCTAGTATAAGAGCTGACCATCAACAGTTAAGTCAAGGAAATGTTTCTTGCTGGAAACCTATGATTAACACAGATCAACTTGCTGGAGGCATGTCGAATGTCCATGTTATTATATCAATACATTTAATTCCAGCTGCTCCTTTGGCTGCATTTTCAGCCGGAAATGCCATAAAACACTAAGTTAAAATTGCTTCAAATAATTGTACCCAAGTATGACACCAATTTGATGAAAATCCAATGATCAAAACAACACACACACACACACAACCAAAAAAGGAAAGTATGATGACCTTTGGACGCTGCACCAGCTGCACATCTCCAGCTGGAGCCAGACAGCATCCAACCCACAGCTAATTAATCACTTTAATAATCCTAATTACAATCGAACAATAACAAGTAATCATCCAATCACTCACCCAGTACTCCTCTAATGAGCCCGTGTGAACACAGGCCTGGTAAAGCACATTTTTGCTCTTGTTCCCTGTCTGAAAAACACCTTGAACTCCTGAACACCCCAATGAAAAATAACCGGCTTCATGCGTTTGAAAAGATGCAGCATTATCTCGCCCTGTCACTGCTTTCCATGCACCCCACCCCTCTCCCGATGCAAATGGATTTCTCCAGGTAGGGCACTGACCAAAGCTGCCTGCCATTACACTTGCATAAACCAGGAAGCTTCAAAGTGACACCATAAGTGCCATGCGATATACTGCTGCCATCTCAGCTACATAAAATATACAAAAAATACTACAGTCCACATCGGCAGTGACATGAATACTACACCAATATTGAAGATGCAGATATCTACAGACTAATAGAATACTAGTCAGATTCAGATCAGTTCCTTTTTATCTTCTGAATAACACACTCTTCATGATACTTCATGATTAAAGTATAAACAGCTTTGCTCTCCTTCACTGAAATGGAAAAGCATTTCAAAAACATGGAAATGAAGGCAAGTTAGACCCTACTATATCTAGTTTTACTGCAGACAAAGACGGAAAATCATTAAAGGTGACAGGAAACGTCCCTGAACTGCATGACAATAGCAGTTTCCTTTTTGAAAAGTTAAAAATAAGGGGAGCTTAAACTCCAAATCAAAAATGATTCAAGACATATGTTCTTAGAAACTCTTATTCCAAGTTGTAAAACAAAGAAAAAGCTCTGATCAACAGCAGTTTAATTACAATGAACAGCTAACTGTGAGAAATAAAGTATCCCCATCAGCAGCATAAAAGCTACCTTTTATTCTGTTAATGCCAGCCTACCATTTACAGTAAGTGGATCAGCACAAAGATTTGTTCCTTACTTCATGCTGGGAGAGATTTCTACATGTTAATTCAAAACAAAGTGTCCTCAAGACATTACTGCTGCCAGAAATTAAAAAAAACAACTTTTATTTGAAATAAAGTATCCTTCCAGGAATTCAAAATGATTTATTTTCATTTTCAGATGCCTCTTCTAAATTGCAAAATTAGTATTAATTCAATTTTTGAGGTGAAGCATTTTTTATTTAACCAAATTAAACACCCACGCACACACACACACACACACACACACACACACACACACCCATCATGATACCAATATCATTATTAAAATTGATATTATACACAGAAAAACAGAGGGTTTGAGACCTATTTCATTACCATAACCTAAATCGGTGCTTTGCATAAGTTGGACCCTGGGCTCACTTACAACTATAAAGCTGCTATTATCAATATTTTTGCATTATATATTAATATATTATTAAGGGGTGCACCGGATATGAACCAAGGTACTGTCCTAGCCCGTAGCTTTGTCACCAGTAGTCTGAACAAACCATAAGTTAGAAAACCTCGTTTTAGCATCCCAATTAACATCACAGTTAATGTGAAGCACAGATGCACCTTGCTTCCCAAGCTAGCTTGTGCCATCCTCTCATGCGAATATGGTTACATCTGGTTCCAAAAAATGCAAAAATGCCAAATTCGAGGCTTCAAAACAGTACTATTAACAATGTTATGCGCGCCAAGGTATGTATGTAGGAATGTATTTGGTTTCACAAACGCATATTTCCTTAGAGCAAACTGAGAAAAAATATTGAAAAATCCTGTTCCATTTTTCCTGTCACAGTTTTATTTAAGTAAGCCACAAGCTAAACCCTATGGAATGTTAATGAATAAAAATTTGCTAAAGGAAAGGGGTGGGGGGTGCGGAGATGTAACAACCAGTTTCTGAGCCAAGTCATTTGTATAACGACAAACTCATTTCAGTGTCTGTTTCCTTGCAAACACCAACATTTCAGTTCTATGGCAGTATGTGTAATTGTGAGTGTAACATGCTAATGCTAAATGTCCAGCTGCCAACAACGGATTTACTAAATACAGAGAGTTAAGCACCTGAGACATAGTCATAATTGAACACCATAAAGTGATGCACGGCACCATAAAACCTCTGTACAGCAGCCACTCACTACGCTGTTGTAAGAAACTCCTGCCAAATATAAAGCTGTTCAGGAAAATTAAGGCTTATGGGGACAGTTGTTGTGCAAAGTGAATCCAATAATGTAGAAGCCATTTTCCCTGTTTATCCATGCTAGCAAGCCTAGGAATTATCATCTCCACAGTGCTGACACTTACATATGCAGCAGTGCTTAAAGTGCTTAGACAACTAGACACTCTTCTTCAGCTGTTTGTGGGGAACTGTGTGGATGTGCACTTGGTGTAGGAAAGTGGGTATAAGGAAAATAAGTGTCAGTGATATTATGAATAAAAGTTTAAAAAATGCTAGGTAAAAGGCTATCATATAGGTGACATAATCAACAAGACACTGCGCTTCAAAAACAAGTCTTCCAAATTAAACAACAAAATGTGTCAGTGCCTCCCAAAACGCCACTTTTCAGATCTGACTCCCCCATATGAAATCATTTCCCAGTGTCCAAAATCATTAGATATGAATATTTGTAAGATGTATTTGACATTTTTGATCTGCCACCATCTGTGGTTGTATTGGTTAGGCTAAGTAATAGAAATTACTGCTATGCTATGTAACTTTTGAAAAAAGAAATGACACATTCAAAAGGTTCAATACACTAAGGGCTTTGCTGCTACAGCATCAATTAATTTGCATGATACGACCAGTAGTGCACGGTGGCTAATGTTAGCAAATGTTAGAAACCTTTAGCTACATGAGTCTGTGTAAATTACATTTCTGAGTCAGTTTGTTGACTTTATGACTCTTATCTACTTGTGCTACAATATGTTTTAGCATAGTTGCCACTTGTGGCCACACCGGCTGCTGTTCAGCTGACATACGTTAAGGTCAGGAAAGAGCATGGTTTGATTAAAAACAACTTGGTTAAGGAAACAGAAAACAATCATGTTCATGTCTAAAAGCAATGTGACTTGGTTTAGGTTAGGGAAAGACTTATCCAGATCAAGGTAAAATCTGCCAGAAGAAAACGTCTCCCTGTTCACAGCTGTTCTTGACCTGTCCACTTTGACCCCCTGTCTAAGAGGTTTTGTAACAGTAAAGAGCCATAAGTGACACTGCAACTAGAAATCTTTGTCAGGTACGCCTGAACATACACTGTTTTACGCATTTGAACAAATGATCAATGCTGTGTTTTAATCTTATGAGGGCAGGGTTTGCTCAAAACAGCTCAAGCAAGCTCAGTTAATAAAATAAACACAAAGACACAACAAAATCAGGTGCATTTTGGACTTGCAACCAGTGATTACAGCGAATAACGCATAACGCATGTGAACACCGTATCTTGCATAATTAAAACCTATTTTGTAGACGTTTCTTTCTAATGTGCTGAATTGTTGTTCGTATTTAACTTGACTACCCACAGTCAGTGGGCACAACATGCCTGCCTACATCCAACATTACATCAGCTGCAATAAACTTCACCAAGGAACACCTACATTTCTTTCACCCACTGGAGCCTGAATTCTTCAACAAGGGATTTTTCCAGTATTTAGCAAAAGTCTTCAGCAACAATGTCAAGCCCACAAATTTAAATATGAAATACAGCAAAAAAAACAACATAAAAACAATCATTAACCAATGCTGTCCAATGTGTTGACTTACAACTAACTTAAATGGCTCAAAACAAGAATGGTTAAAGCTGGCCTAGCAGTCCACACTGTCATGAGTCAGTTAACATAGAGCCGTCCAACAGGCTGGTCGTGATTGATTGTATTCGTGTGTGCAAGTGTGTAGGTGTCCATGTATGTATCAGCCTCTTTTTGGATCAAGGTAAAGGTTTCTCTTTTTAATCTCATTCATATGATGACTAAGACACACTGGAGTCAGCCCAAATAGGATTTTTTAAATAATTTAATCGGCGACAACAATCCCCCTTTCAGAAAATCCTGCTGCTATCCACTTCAGATTCATTTGTGTCCTAATGAATAATGATCTAATGATTTTGACACAAATTCAAAAAAATGAGAGTATAATTGAATGTACTAAAATTAAAAGCCGGATCGATGGGTCACTCTCCTCCCCGTTCTTATTGGGTGAGCGGGAGCGTCTGTGTGTCTGCAGTGTGTGGGATCGAGGCTAGATACACACCTACTGTCATGTAGGCAAAGGTTGTGTGTGTGTGCCCGCTAGTGTGTGGGAAACAGGAAAGAAAAGATATTAGAGCTCTGCATTCATTATTGCTGGGTGTGTTTTAAAGTTTCTGATTTGTTTATTTATTAATTT